TTGCAATGTCAGCAGATTGCATGCACAGGCTTTCCTGTTCTGCCAACGAACAATCGGACATTTTACTGATTGTGAACAAAGACAACACTAGTGTGTTGACTAGCAGATGCTTGTCAGGCTATACCGATGTTGGACATGCCAAGTTTTACTTTGTTACATTAACCATAAGAATTATTAGCTAGAGATTTCAATATTGAGTGGAAGTATGACAGCAAGTCATTGTTGCATTAGTCATGGAAATGAGTAACAAAACCAATATATAAGGTTGCACCTTTTTGAGGTGCAACCTTAACAGACAGGTTGGGGAAGCAAATGGAACAGAAAAAGTCACAGTTAAACTATTTACATGAGTCTTTGTTGTGAGCAGCCCCTGGGCTTCATTAAAATTTTATATTTTTTTGTTTTTTAGAGCAGCCTTTCAAAGCCAGCCACCTTGTATACTGAATATCATGTAAATGTGAGATGATGAAATGCTTTGTTATGCATAGTACATACAAAATCTGCTGGATTCTAATGAGAACTAGGATTTTCAGTGATATTAAATTAAACCTACCTTAATATTAACTGGGCAAAGCAGAAGTATTTATGATCATGTAAATAGGCTACTTCATTTCACCCTTGATAGCCTGAAGCTGCAGCAACCTTCGGTGACTGGAAACAGTCCGTAGCCCATTAATGTGTGGTGGAACTCATGTTGAGAGGATCGGTTGGAACTAGGATTGAGCATTAATGTTGGGGCTGAAACCATTAATCGGATTAGTCGATTGTTGAAATAATCAACTCATTATTTAGTAATCGATTAATCGTTAACTGGAGTATAGAGAGTCTAAAACATGCCTTTGCCTGACAGAGTTACCAGTGATGGGCAGTAGCGCCGCTACATGTAGCGAAGCTATTAGTTTAACTACATGTTCCAGTAGCTTGACCATAGCGTCGCTGCTTTATTTATCAAGTAACTTTCCTGTAGCGACGTTATTGTTTTGATCAAGTAGCGACGTAGCGTCCACAAACGCTACAAAATCCAGGGCAAAACTAAGAAATGAAACCAGGTTTTCTATTTCTAAACAACAATCAGCCACAAAACTACTGTAAATAGCAGTTTCAGCTGACGCTCTTATAAGTGGCGTAGTAGCACAGGCACACTCAGTAGGGTTAAACAAGCGCACCCTTTTCGAGGCTGTCGTTCTATTGGCTGGAAAGGTTGCTAGGCAACGATCCAACTGCAGTCTGAGAGCAAAACAAATCTGCAAGCAGAGCCTACGGGTTTGCGAGCGTAACAGAGCGCGGTTTGTGCGCGAAGAGAAGGAGGCAAGCGAGAGGAGAAAATATCTGTGCAAGAAGCATTAAATCTGAGAGAAGAAACAAAGATTTGAGAAAGAAGAGAAAATATTTGAGAGAGAGCGCATGTTTTGAGTGTGAGCATTATAAGTTTTGAGAGCAAGAAGATGAAATTCTTTTCTCTAATTGAAGTTATGTGCTCTTGCATTATGGCAGGATAATTCTCCCATATGTGCCACTAAGATACTTTAATTAGAGAGCAGTAGTGAAACTTCGATATTGTATTTTCATGGCCTAGTTTACCTGACAGGATGTTTACATAAATCTGTTTTTAGGCTGTGCACAGATAAGATTTTTTATGGAGGAACAGCTCTACCGTATATAAAATAAATACATAAATAAATAAATGTTCAATAAATAAATAAATAAGCATTCAATTAATTGCCTCCAAAAATACAATGAATAAATATGTAGGTAGAAATTAAATTATATGGTGAGACATATATATATATATATATATATATATATATATATATATATATATATATATATATATATATATATATATATATGTATCTCTTAATTAGCTTCTTTATTTTTTCACCTTCTTTTGTAAACAGTTTTGTTTGTTACTTGAATCAACTGTTTAATTGAGGTCTTTTGTAGGGTTTTGTTTTCCCTAGAGATGTCCATTGAATGCAAACTCATAGCAATGTCTCGGTGTGTAGAACACTACACAGTACCTTTAATTTGGTTCTAATAGCAGCTGATTGTTTACTAGTTTGTCTACTAGTAATTACTTTAGTTTTTTTTTTATTATGCTGATCATAAAACAATTTTTACACTGTGTTATGTCATTGGCTGATCTTTAATAAATGTTTTAACCAGTGCATCAGACTCATTTTGAATTGACATTAGGTTGGTACAACGTTAAGTAGCTTCTGATGTAGTTAAGCTACTTTTAACACATTAGTGTAACTTAGCTTGCTATAATTCTTTAGGTGGTAGCTTTTGTGTAGTGAAGCTTAATTTATTGTTGAGTAACTGATAGCTTAGCTCACTACACTGGACAAGTAGCTTGCCCAACACTGAGAGTTACCCCATTAGAGCATTAATTATACCACAATTCAAAGAAATATATATAAACATTTTGCATTTAAGATTAAAAAAAAAATTATCTGTCAATATGCTCGATCCAGAACTCCCAAAGGGGAAAAGTTTGAATTTCACCTGGTTTAATTTCAGTCTTCTTTAAACGACTTTTCTATACTGGTGGTTTTTACTTTTTAGAGTTAGATTTGCTCCTGTTTTCTTGTATCTTCAAATAGTAGTGTGGACATCCAAGGAATTTCCTTTTTTTTCTGACCATGCTACGCATGCAACTTTATTATAATATATGGACTGTAGAAATTCCTGTACAAATGGACAATGTTGCTTTTTTGGCGTGATGTTGTCAAGTTTGAGTGTTAGAACCTGTATAAACAGACAAACATCACACTGTTTGTCCTGTTCCATGCAGATACCTAAAGGAGACCAACGGGCTGCTGGCACTGAGAGAAAACAAAACGAACTCACCCCAAAGCAGGCGAGGGATCTGGCTCCAGGCCTGTACTGCAGCCAGATCATCTTGCTGAGCAGGCCCTGATAAGTAGAGAACCTTTTGGAAACCCGGTGTCCTCGCATAAAGGTTGCAGATATTTCACAATGGACATTTTGATGGATGATAACCTGATTAAGCTCAAATAAAAAAATAAAAAAACATGTGATGCCCAGAGGGCTAAGTTTAAGATGTTGGCCAGAATGTCAGTGATAGTAAGTCACTTATATTGCATTTAGTAAAATGATGCATTAATCACCAGAAATGCATAGCTGCCACATGAATACAATACCTTAACCACTTTCACCGGTCATAACAAAACGAACACAAGGAATTATGCAGTTTTGGTGTCAAGACACATGTACTATTCAGCATGACAGCGACGGACTTATGCAAATGACATGACAGCAGTTTAGGTTCCCCTTTCATGTTTGGACCAACATGACTTTGATTTTTAAAAAGGTACAAGCTAAGGCTTTTTAATTGATTGGTTTCAGTAAAAAGGACAAAATCAGCCTTCTGAGCTGGATCAACAGAGCTTTAATTCTTAAATCAGAAAACAGCTGATGCCACCATAGGGGCTGCCATTCATTACCCTATATGGGCCCGCCCCTCCTAGAGTTACAGATAAATGGAAAGAGAAAAAAAATCTACCTCCAGACTGAGACGGTACTACGACCTGTAAGCACACAGCTCCCTGGAATCAGGCACAATGTCATCATCGAAGTTAATTGAGTACAGAGGCCTTCTCCTGCCCCCTCAGGCCCACAATGCGGAGAGCTTGGAGTTTGCCCAAAAGTTTTCAGTGGAAGACTCTGATGTGTTCATTGTGACTTATCCCAAATCAGGTAAAGTAACTTTTATACTTCTCTTCATATTATTATTTTTTCATCTGCTTTAATCAGTGTAGTCAATAATTCACTTTTTATATATTTAAAAAAAAACACATTAAGTAAGTATCTATATCATAATAGCTTTGTTTCTTATGCTTGCCGGTATTCCTATCTGACTATCAAACTGGTCCTTTTTTGCTGTTTAATTCTTATAGCCAGAAAGCACGATTCGTCTTTTCTCAGAATTTTAGGCTAATATATAAACTTTTAAAAGGCTTGTCGAGTTTGAACATGTTTTCTCTGTATTTTTTTTTCAACTCTCCCCACACCTCTGCATTATACCATTCAGTAAATTATATTGTAAGCTATAATCACTCAAAAACAGTGCTGTTTAATTAGCAATCCTATAGACCTGAGGAACACTCGTGTTCATATTACAGCCTTTCTGTACCCATAATGTGCAGTTAACCATTGTATTACTAAATACTTGTTTAAAACATTATATAATCTATATGATAGCAAACTGGTTTATAATTTGGTCTGATCTTATCTTCCTCTTGAGTGGGATCCATTAACATTGAAAAAAAGCAACCTTTTTTGGCATTTACTTAATCATATTTAGTTATTTTAACTCAATTGTTTCATGTTAGCAATGTAGGACATAAAACAATTGTGTTAAAGTAACTAAATATGGTTAAGTAAATGCCAAAAAACTTTTGCATTATTTGTTTTAGTGTACCAGCCTGTCCGCTATTGTTGGGGTGATTTCAAAAAGTGTGAAAAAACAAAATGCCAAGAGCTCACTTCTGCAAGTTTGGCAACTTCCCCAAAAAACAAACTAAGATGAAGAATAAACCACAAGATAGCTCAGGGAAGTTTGCTGCATTCAAACACTTTTGTAAATGTGTGTCGTTACTCGCTTTGTTTAAATTTAATCAAAATGGAAATTCACTTGAGTAATTTGTATATAATTTGTTCAGCGACATTTTTAAAGCCATTAGGTGATCTTGTAAAATTAAGCTGTAAATAGAATCCATTTCTTATAGTCATTTTATTAAGACTTGTGTGAATCCATATCACAAATATATTTGTATTTTATGAATCATTGTTTATGTAAAAGTGATAAACGGATGTATTTATTTTTTTTTTTTTTAGAAACAAAATATACAGGGAAAATATGAAAATGAATACATTAATAGTCTTCTCTGTAATCTGGAACCCTGGGATGAAAATTAAAGCGCTCCATAATGGAGCTCTAAATTCCCGCGAGAAGTCATGCAAATCTCGGAGCGGCTGTAGAACGGAGAGGCGCTCTGCGCTCTTCGGGAGTTTGGCAGCAGCGCAGCTCTGAAGCACCATGCCCTCCTCTGAGGATTTCTACCTGGAATATCAGGGACTTCTGCTTCCCAGAGAGACTCACTGCACAGAAAGCTTGAAGTTTGCGCAGGAATTCATTTTTAACGACGATGACGTTGTGGCAGTTACATACCCGAAGTCAGGTCAGTTCCTCACAGATGAATAATTTTATTCTACTCGCAGGTGGATCATTTAGTGAAACTAATTAGACTGTCTCAAACATAGTAAAGATTGATGCTCTGAGGACATCTAACCGTTTATGATGTAGATCATCAAAAAGTTTAGATTGGAAAAAAGAAAAACCCGAAGCGGACTGTGGTTTAACAAACCCTGCATTGTTTTGCTGCTTATTCATTTCTGCAATACTCAGTCGCCGCTACTGTGCAGAGATACCATAAACGAACTAAAAATACTCAATCTAAATTGCGCTACGGTGTCAAATCATTTTAAACGTTTTGTCAGTTACAACAACAAACTTATGGTTAAGGGGGACCTGTGGAACTTCTCCTGGCCCCTGGTATTTGGCCCCTGTACTAAAAGCATGCATTGCAAAAAATGTAAATTATAGTACAAGTGTATTTCCCATTAGTTTGAGCAGTTAGTTACGACAGTTTACCATTAGCCACACTTAAACTGATTTTATTTTGTCATTTTATACACACTGGTGTAAACAAAAATAAATTTAGTTAAGTACAGCTCCCTAGACTATTTAATTTTTTAAAGTACAGCCTCGATAAGTTTAAGCAGCAGTGATAAATGTATGACTTTATAATTACAGTTGTAACATTGTTATTTTTTTTTTTAAATAAAAGATGATTAAGTTTTAAAATAAGAGAAAGCTATTTTAGCTTATCTAAAGTAGATAATATGCAGGTAACCAATTACTGATTGTTTTAAAGAGATGTTGACTTTTTCTGCAAATAATACTAAATAAATTTCTCATGACAATATGAGCTGACAGAATGTAACCTAACTCTGTGTTTTTCAACCCTGGTCCTCAGAGCACTCTGCCCTGCATGTCTTGGATATTTCCCAGCTTTTAAATACCTGATGTCAGTTAATTCCAGATTAACAGGGTTTGCTGAACTGCAATAATCTGAATTAGGTGTTAAAGCAAGGAATCATTTTAACCCAGGTTCTCAGGACCTCCTGTCCTTTGTGTTTTAAATGTGTCTCTACTCAAGCACACCTGGTTCAAATGATTACAGTTTATATGCGACAGCCCTCAAATGCGGCAAAAGAATGTTAATTACCTTTTCCTTCAGGTCAGGTGTGTGGAGGGAAGGACACGCCTAAAACATATGTCAGTGGCTCTGTTCGAATTCATGGGCTGCATCCTCCAAGGATGCGGTCTACCTAGACTGGATCCTTTAAAGACCTTGAATATAAGGAGACCAGAAGAGTTTTGGCTGTGAATTCAAACAGGTCTACCCTTCGGCGGGTTTTACCGCCGTAGGCTATGTTGCTTAGACACACAAAGCAGGAAAAGAATTAATACCAAAGTTTTCAAAACTGTTTATTTCTTTCTTTTTTATCGAGTGGAATAAAGGTCCCAACCACCGGGAGCAGGAACAAATAAAATCAAATGTAATGATAGAAACCTTAGTCAGTTAAATATCATGTTGCTGTCATTTTGCACATCTCTGATGTTGCTGCTATTTTCAAATATCCATTACTGTAAAAATGTCCATAGCTGGATATTGGTTATTTATTCTCCGGGTGCACAGTTTAATATTGTTAAAACACTTTACAGTATTTTATTGTTTATATGTTAACTCTTCCCTATTATGTTAGTCTTATACATTTTTCTAAGGTCCACATTTCTGCTGCTGTAAATTTGCCCATTGTGGGACAATAAAGAGGTTTTCTATTCTATAAAAGGGATAGAAATATATAAGTTGATCTAAACAATGTATGTATAAAGAATATATCTGCAAAATCTCTAATATTCAACAGAAAAAATGTCTTGCTTAGGCATATTGTGCAAAACAGCAATAAAAAAAATTTAACTATCAGATTTACAGTCCCCACACTGCAGATATATCAGAATCTGTCCTTAAATTACAGCCAAACCCATTTACACAGTAACAGATAAAAACCTTTAGATAAATCAAACATTACCGCCACATATCTGACTCTATAACCATTAAAACAACAATCATTTCAGACAGAACTATTCACAGAGTTGTATTACATTAAACTGAACTTCCAATATTCACCGCTGTTCGGCGCCAAGTAACCTTTCCTCTGATCACGGAGCAAATCACGGCTTGCTTGGTCTCGCAATGAATCCTGGGATATCCAAGGATGCCGAGGATACATCGGACCCGTCCTTCAAATCGGGGCAAAAAGAAGGACGCATTTTAAGGCCGCGTAACGAGGTTTCTTGGAATCCGACCAGACCTCTGTGCCACGCTATGACGTAATCGTCATTCGAATCTGGCCTTTTAAAAACTCATCCCATGAATTCGAACAGGGCCAGTGTCACTTGAGGACAAGGACTAACTGATTTATCCCTTGGACCAATTAATTTACAATTTACTTAATTATTTTTAAATTATGCTTCAGGTGTACTAAGATAAAATCACAGCTCTTATCTATTAGATCAGGATTCTGCAATCTTATTTTTGTGACTCACTCTATGAAACGGCATGCACCTGCCCTGTTTTATTGTGTTATTTCTTTTTCAGTGGCCCATGAAAATATACTGGATGTCTGCCAATACTGTCTTTTTTAACATCAGTCTCACTGATCCCTGATAAGTGCTGTCGACTTTTTTGGAATGCATACTTTTAAAGTAAAAGATTTATGAAAATGTGTAAAATGCTGTTATGTGTTCTGTTTTAGTTTATGGAGAAAGCTGCACAGCTAATGCAGCTGTCCCCCTTGCTGTCAGTTGCTAAAGGAGGTGATCTTGTTAATGCTAACTACATTAGAGGTTTAGAGCAGGGGTAACCAATTAAAAATCAACAGGATCCGAATAAAGAAAATCAACAACCAGTAAAGGTCAGACATTTTTAATTATAAACTGTTACTTTAAACAGATTTAACACTGAAATAAAATGAGGATTTCATGCATCCATGTTATATATTGACTTTTTAAATAAAAAGATATACAAAAAAATAGAACATTTTTCTATTTTAAAATGTAAAGTGTTTTTTTAAGCAGAGAACATCAACTGTTCAGTTTGGTATATAGACAATATCCTGATTCACATATTTTATAAAACATCTGAACTAACCTAACAAGTTATTTTTCTTCTTTTTTTTCTGGCTTAATGAGAGCAGTGGGCTTTAGGCTGCCCTGCAAGGCTTTAAATCTGGGTTTGAATGGAGACAAAGTCATTCTCAAGCACATGTCAAGGTGCTTATTCCTGAGCCAAACGTACTCTAAATGTGCAGGGTCACCTTTGAGCACGCCATTTCACTTTTCTGTCACCAGGTCACCGCAGTTCTTCCAGCAGTCCATATTTTCTCTGCTCTCTTTTTCTAATCATCTTCTCCTTCTTTCCCATCGCCCAGCTTGCCACTGACACAGCCCATCGGTCTGTTAATCCGTGACCTCTGCTCTAGGCTGTTTCTGCTAGGGAGAAAAATGACATGCTGCAACCTTCCCCTGTTGTTACTGTCCCCAGTGTCCCTTATTTATTTGTGTTTCTTTCCGGACTGTTAAGGTCTGGATTTACTGGAAAGTTCTAAGGGGTTTTAGGAGCACTGTGGTGCATGCCATCATATAATGCATGCTAGCTGGCAGCTGTGACACTCTGGAGGTGTCTTGCTGGATTGGTTGGAATTTGATCGCTTGGTACCCAGGCTTGAAGTGTTCACCTCTGACCTCATCTTGGCCAGTGTGATTTGGTTGATAGAAACTAATAGAGGACATGTTGTTTTGACAAGCGGCTGTTTAAACTTTGTAGATATGTGAGCTGAACCTGCTGGCCTTAAATGATAATGCACATTATACTGTACCGTGATCCCTGTGGTGAAACATGATAATGGCAGTATCCTGCTGTGGGTATAATTTTCATCTGCAAGAGAGTTGACCTGAGTTTTTATTTTTTATTTATTTTTTTAAATCTTTTTTATGTGATTAATTGGAGTAATCATTTAGGTGTAATAGAAAACAATATGAAGGTTTGAAAAACTGGGACTTGTGAGGATCCCCATTGTTTTTGTAGCAGGTCTGTTTCACCATTAGTTGCTTAAGGTAATAGAAATCTTTGTCCTCTGCTCATTTGTCTAAGTGTCTGATGTGTTTAATACTGACAGGTACTTTTTGGTCCCTCTGTGATGTAAGCGGTAAATATGGATGTAAAAACCAGGTTTCAAATTTCCTTTTGGATGATCTACAAGCCTGACGAAGGAATTAAGTGCCGACAGCTATGTCTTAGTGTTTCTCGTTCTGAGCTGCAACTTGGCTAAGAAATACATTTCTGCTTTCCAGTGACATCATATAACTACAGTGAAATAAAATAAAGCATTTCATATGCGCTTAGTCTGTTCATGTTGATATAGAGCTGTATTCAATAAAGTATTGAAAGCATTTATAATGGAGGCAAAATTAAAGTAACTTTTGAAAATAACCTTTAAAGCAGATATTATTTTATTATTATTTATTTATTTAGTGTCATGTTGTTGTGTATCATCTCTTTATGGACCATGAGTCTATTGAACAAAGCAATCATCATTAGAAATACTTTAAAAATGAATAATTATAAATTGATAATTAATTGAATAATTAAAAATTATATATATTTTTTAGTCAGATGATATTTTAACCAAATAATTTAACAAAAACATCAGTTTGTCTCTAATTACGAAAATAAACAACATTTTCAGTCATATTTAGTTTAGATCATGTCTGTAAATAAAGAACCCCAAACAGATACAGAATCTTAGCCTCTTCTTTTTTGTATACTATGAATTCTACAGGCTTAATCTAATCAGCATCAGATGTAAAAATTGGTTTAGGCAGAGAAAGTGACTAAAAGGAAAAGGTCAAAAAACAAAAAAAAAGCAACCAGACTGGCACACTTGGAAATTAGGTTGTTAAATAATCAAGCATTTATCAGCAAATGCCCAGGAAGGTAACACATTACTAAAAGTTTATGTTCATGATTTCATTTTTTCTTGGTCATTTAGTGAGTCTGGCAAAAAGCTTAAGAGCTGATGTGTGTAACTTTTATCTTAGAATAACAGAGTAAAAGTGTCTAAGTCCCTTTCAGAGGATGGTATCATTACTGTTGATCGCCTCAGTGCTAAAGAACTGATAGGACTGTAGACAGAAAGTCTGGTGTTTAAATAAAAACATATATATAGTTGGTAAATGTGTTTGTAATTGGACTTCTTATATTTTTTCGATCAGTCATTGTGAGGTCATAACTCAAAATAATCCTGACTCATTTCCTTTTTTATAATTTCTCAGTAATTCTGTTTGTCAACAGCTGCTCTCTTTACAGAAGCTGTTCTTGGAATTTGTGTTTTCTTACTTTACAGTAAACAAAGCCACACATGTTAACTGAGACTTCCAGCGTTATGTTTGAAATAAAGCACACAAATGAGGAGGACTTCCAGCTCCCCTGACTTGAACTACATCATTCATCTTCGCAGGAACGACCTGGATGCAGGAGATCCTCCCGCTGGTGCTAAATGGAGGAGATTTGACCCCTGTTCATACAGTTGTGAACTGGGACCGGGTCCCGTGGCTCGAAGAAACAAGACTGGCGAAGATTGTGGATAAGCTGCCATCTCCACGTGCCCTTGTTACACATTTTCATTACAGCCTCATGCCCCCTTCATTTCACACCTCCAAAGCGAGAGTAAGTGGGTTAACTTGGTCACATATACTGACGTTCTAACTAAAAATACACAAAATACTGCATATTTTTGTACTCTGGAACATGTAGGTAATCTATGTTATGAGGAACCCAAAGGATGTCATGGTGTCTTCGTATTACTTCCACCAAATGGCTAACTTCCTTGAGGATCCGGGCACCTTTGATGAATTCCTGGAGAAATTCCTGGAGGGCAGAGGTCAGACATAGCCGCACAGTTAAAATATATGTGTTATTCCTGCCTCTACATGTCAGGCAAACCATATTTAGAAACTGGGTGTCTACATGTGACGGTGCAGCTTTTCTCTCAAGATCATTTCCTTAAATCATCATTTACTTTTTTTAGTCAGACTACATCTAGTATTAGACAGGCAGTAATGATCTGACCCACAACCATTTGGTCCTACTTTGTAAAAGGTTTGTGACAGAAGAAATCTCTCACTTGTTGTCTGAGAGTAGGGTTGACACGTTTAATCAGATTAATCGTGATTATTCAATTGTTGAAATAATTGTCAACTATTTATTAATCGATTAATCGTTAAATGGAGACTCTAAAATTTGCCTCTAGCTGAAAGAGTGACCCACTTAGAGCAGCAATTATACCAAAATTGTAAAAAAAAAAAAAGTGTAAACATTTTGCATTTAAGGTAAAAATCATTTTCATCTGTCATCCTGCTCTTTTCAACACTCAAAACTCTGCTTTAAGGAACCTTTTGCCATCCGATTATTAATTGATTTATCGAAAAAAGAATCGACAGATTAATCGATTTACAAAATAATCTTTAGTTGCAGCCCTACTTAAGTGTAGAAAATAAAATATAGCCTGATCCCACTGAGGCATTAGCAGCCTGAGGTAGACTGAGGACAGGAAAATTACTCAGCTTTTGGTAACATCTGCTGTTTTAAATTGCAAAATACTTACCCTCTAGAATTATAGGTAAGTGTAATTCCAGAGGGTAAGTATTTTGCAATTCAGGTGTAGAACTGCCACTGGCATCTTTGAAAAAGACTTTGGTTGCACAAGGAAGCTTGCTTTGAATAAATAATTTCCCTGTCAGAGATATAGCATTGAAATACTGAAAAAGAAATTGGAGAATGCAGGCCTCCGGCAAGTTTTGCACCATGTGCTAAAACTGACACATGATCTGGATTATTACTACATTTTAGTGAATTGTTCCTTGACATGAGGCACATGTCTGATTTAAAAAAAGGAAAAATCCTTAAAAGACGTTCATAACTTTTCAAGTTATCCTGCTAACTAACAAACCAACAAACATGAAAGCATTGAGATGAAAACTGACCCGAGCTCAGACCAAAGCTATAACTTAGTGATTTGGATGTTTGGATTTGGGTGGATGTTGAAGGAGCTGGATCCAGTTATACATCCGGGTCCCCCTTAATTTTATTTTGTTAAAAAGACTTAAATTCAATTTTTCCCTCCCCAAAAAAGGTAAGTTCACTAAAATATAATGAGTTAAAGGTTAATAATGTATTTCCTGAGAAAATAAATGCCTGAAATTCCTTTCTGTTTTATCACTCGTATTCCCGATCTGCACCAGAAATGGGATCCTACGCTACTTCCGGGAGCTACCGTATTTTCACGACTATAAGGCGCACTTAAACGTCTTTTTTTTTTCCTCAAAATGTGCGGTGCGCCCTTTGGTGCGGTGCGCCTTATGTGTGTTGTAACTGCGACTTTTGAGACCACCTCATTGAGGAGATGATGAAAGAGTGGCTGAATGTAAGGAGACCAGGTGTTTTTTTTCCACTCATCACCATCGCTGTTAATATGTAACTCCATGCGTGCCCATCTCACAGGTGATGTGAAAAACACGGTGAAACAAATTAACGCTGTGCTCGCTGTTCAACCGCTCGAAATCGGTGTGAACCGGACCCAGCAGGTGCAGCAGAAGCAGCGAGTTTACATGCAAAGTCAATGGTTGACGCGCGTATAGGCGCAGCAAAAGGTCCCGCAGCGCGTTTTGAGCAGCAGGCGCAGCGTGTCGGGAGCGTTTAAGCATCTGACGCACCGCCAACGCGCTGCTGCTCGAGATGGAAAAAATTTAAGTTTTGCTGCTGGACACGCCGCATCAACCAATCAGAGAAGCTGATCTGGGAGCTGACAGCGAGACAGACACTGCGCTCTGATGACATATGATATTAACGCAAATGAAAAAGGCTGGATGGATGAGGAGATGATGAAAGCGTGGCTGAGGCAGGTGTATGTGAGGAGACCAGGTGCTTTTTTCCACGCATCACCATCGCTGCGTGCCCATCAAACAGCCGATGTGAAAAAAAAAGGTGAATCAAATGAACGCTGTGCTCGCCGTTATCCCGGGGGTCTGACAAAGGAACTTCAACCGCTCGACATCAGTGTGAAGCGGCCGTTCAAAGTAAGGCTGCGAGCGGCGTGGGAGCGATGGATGGCCGACAGAGACCACAGTTGCACGATTAGTGGAAGGCAGCGCCGGGCAATTAACGCCACAGTTTGCAGATGGATTGTAGATGCTTGGACTAACGTGTCTGCTGGCTCTGTTGTTCAAGCTTTCGCAAAAGCCGGCATTATTTCTGAGGAGCCGCGCTGCACGGAAAGTGACTCTGACAGCGAAGAAGGGGAAACTGGCATGTCGGATTTAGCGCAGCTGTTTAATTCAGAAACAGAGGATGATGACTTTGATGGGTTTGATTAATACTTTGTAATAAATACATTAATAAAGCACAATCATACTCAGTTTTGCTCCCGCTCTATTTTTCTACCTGAAAACTTAATTCAACAGCAGCCTCTGGGCCGGGTCTCCTCCGCGTATACCGCGGTGGCTGGCAGGTGTTTTTTCATCTAAATAATCTAAATCTTGCAGCTATATTTGCTGTGGTCAGTGGGAATAAAGTAGTTTTAATATGTTTTTATGTGAGAAAGGCCACCTGAAAACTTAATAGTTGCGGTCAGTTCATCCAGATTATTATCGTGCCTATACTATTTCTGTTGGAGGCGCTCAGACCCCCACATACTAGCGGTGCACCGACAGTAGAAATCCCTTCAACAGCAGCCTCACCGCGGCGGCTGGCAGGTGTTTTTCATCTAAATAATTTAAACTGCAGGCACCAGGATACCGGTATAAAAGCGAACAAATTCCGTCGGCAGGTTTCAGGATTTTAAGTTAATTTAGGAGTAATCACAGCGCTGTGTCATCTGCGATGTGTCTGTCTCATGGCCAGCTCCCAGGTTTGATTAATACTTTGTAATAAATACATGAATAAAGCACAGTCATACTCAGTTTTGCCCCCGCTGTATTTTTAAATACACAGTAGGGCTATTTAAAGGTAGTAGAGGACATGTACCTGTATATAAAAAACGCGCCCTATAGTCCGGTGCGCCTTATGTGTGTGTTAAATACAGAAATGGCACACATAACTGAGACTGCGCCTTTTAGTACGGTGCGCCTTATGGTCGTGAAAATACGGTAACTTTTTCCGCTTTGGATTAAAACATAAATCTAGGCTTTTTGAGTTGTATCTCCTCCTTTAATGTTAACATTAGGGTATATAGTGCGTAATCTAAAGAAAGAAACAACAGATAAACATGGTTTAATCATATTTAGCTCTGAGCATGTCCCATTATGACATACGTCATAGAAGCAGTTTAACAGTGAAAATGTGAAAAACATCAACATTTTCTACAAACATTTTTGAAAGATGTGTGTTAACAATTTTTAGTGAGTTAAGGATAAAAATAAGTAATTTACTACCATAATTACATTATTTATAGACAACCAGATGTATATCTGATGGATCATGCTTCCGGGACGCAGAGGATAGTGGCAATGGTACTACCTTACTGCAAACCACTGAAGTCAGCAGCAGTAATCCATGTTGGTTGGAAAGAACTGCTGGCTGTTGTAATAAGCTGTATGTTTTGTGAGTAGTGAAACTGGTGTGCATTCCAGTTTAAAACTTGTTGATCTTTATGTGTTTGACGCATGATAAACTCCATAAAAGCCATTAAAAATGGTGCCTAGTTCTGCATGCTGCCTGAAAGGCCCATTAACATCAGCTACACATTAGGGTGTTTCTGTGAATTGATAAACTGTGTCTAAACACTACCAACCAAATATGAATAACAATTTTTGTCTAACTTTCAGATCTTTTATTTATTTTTTTGCTTGCTCCTGAGCGGTGATGCAAAACTTCCTTTGATGTCAGGAATATATATATATATATATATATATATATATATATATATATATATACTATATCCAGAATAAATGTTTGACTATGATAGAGTTTTGATCATAGATCCAGATGAAAAGGCATATAGACCTTCCTCCACTCGATCGCTCTCCTTCCCCTGTTTTTGTTTAGTCAAATAAGATGTAAATGTTTCCTTGTATTTTCATGACATGATTAGGTTTAATAAGTTTTGGAGACTCTGTAGTTTGTATTATAAATCGACGTGACTTAATTGAAAAATTTCAGTGGGTGTCACAAGAGCAAAATAAGTAGAAACAAAATTAAAGTTTAATATTTTGTTCATTTGAAGTAAAAATAACTGCTAAAGTTTAAATAGATATTTTCTTAACAAATGTGTAGCACCAACCACAATCGCAGTTTAGCTAAAAAAAAAAGATTACTATCCTTGGCAAGTCTCCTTACCATAATGCCAATAAAGGCTTTTCCATCTACTACTGGAAAGGATGTAAATGAGAGAACGAGAAATTGTGCTTACATGAGGAAATGATATGAGTCATGTGTAAATATTTTACCACGTACACATTCATGCTGTTCTTTAAGTTTGCTTGATTATTTTCTTACCCAGTAGGTTTCAATACATCTATTATTAATCAGATAGCAAAAGGTTCCTTATGGGGATTTTATACTGAATTTAAACCAGTTGAAACTAAAACTTCCACTTAATGAGTTCTGGATAGAGCATTTTGACTTTTCTTTTTATCTTTTATATATATCTTTATATAGTTTTTTTTATTAATGTTTAAAGGTCTTTTAAAATGTTGGCATTTTTACTGCTCTTAGCAACACAGTTGGTTGCTCTTATGATTAATGTTGCAGTTAAAGATTAATCAAATACTGAATTTGTTTGAATATTTTAGTAAATGATTAATCACGATTAATCCTATTAATTGTTTCAGCATTTAACAGGTATCAGGGCCCGCACCGATACTGGTATCGGTGCAACACTAGTTAAAACATGTTTCTTTTGAGTGTTTGTTTTTGGTTTAAAGAGGCAAACAACAGTTCCACCTTAACTCTGAAAGAGATTTAACTGTATTCACACCAGGAAGGTCCTTTTGCTCTGTTTATTTGGTGCAGACCGATAACGTTACATATTTTTTTTTCTTTCTTTTAGATTAGGTTTATTTATTCTAAAATTCTGGTTTTTTGAAGTACACTTTAACATTTAACAAAGCCCTGTGTGTGAAGAGCGCTGCTCCCATAGGACTATGGGAGTCCTTCATGCAGCACATCTGTTTGCGTATCTCTGATATAGTTACAGCTGCAGAATCATTAATGGAGTGAAGAGCAGATAATTTATTCTAAACACATTTGATTTTTAATTTATAACGGTGACAGTGTTGGTGGCTGAGGAACAGATGGCTGATTAAATAGCATTTTCTACAATGGTAGCGCGCTAAAGCCAGACATACTGTACGATTTTTTTGGCCTATTCAGGCCTCCAATGGTGCGAGAATTTTTTAGATCTTGCTAACTTTTAGCCTGATCGTGCGTCATGTAATGCGCAGGGGGTAACGAGGGACGATCAGCCTCTAACAAGCTCCTGCTGACCAGGAATCGTAAGGTCGGGAGTAAATCAAACATGTTTGATATTTAGTCGGCAGTCGTAACGTCGCATCCGAGCGTCGGGCCGCACAATGTGAGCTCATACATTGTGAGCTGTGAACTTTTAAACCCTGTGGTTTCCTCGTACAGTTTGAGCTGTAGCTGCGTGCATTGATTGAAAATATCCCACTGTGTATGCCTGGCTTAATCCCAAGAAGTAGAATGACTGGAAATACCCAAACCAGGGTTAACTCAAGTCAATTTAAACCTGGACAAATAATTTTGAACCAAGAAGGGAAATGAAATCCAAATGTGTGTGAGATGGCAAAAGATTAGGGTGATGATAAAGAGGCCTTCTGACTACTAACTAGGACTGTACAACATGATAAAAACTCATATCACCATATAATAATTACGATTATATATATTATAAAATATAGTACCGTAATTTTTGGACTATAAGCCACGACTTTTTCCTCATTTTTCGACCTTGCGGTCTATATAACAATGCGGCTTATCTATGGACTTTTACAGCTAACAGCCACTAGCGTAACACCTAAATCTATGGATTTTACCATCCACCATGTTTACGTCACACTTGCTTCAACACACAAGTAAGGTAGCCGCACGCGGGGGAATGCGGAGGTCCTCCGGAAGCAGACTCCTGCCGCGAGTGGTACGAGACAGAAAGACGGACATTAAAAATAAAAAACCTGTGGCTTATAGTCCGGTGCGGCTTGAATATGTACAAATCATGCAATTTAGCTTCTGCTGCTTATATTTAGGTGCGACTAATAGTCCGAAAATTATGGTAGTTTTAATATTATAGTTATAAACAGAGTAAAAGCCTCAGAAAGACCGCCAAAAATGGCCACAACAGATGCCTGTAAAAACTCATGATGATTATCTTTGCCGTTTTCATAAAACTCAGTCATCATCACAATATAGAAATATTTGTTTAAAAAACAGAAAAAACACATTAAGCTACATTAAAAGCAGAGCCTCTGGCAGTTACAAATGCTATTAACGTAATATATATATTGAAATATATTAAATGTCACTTCTCTGCTTTTAATTGTAAGACTTTGAGCCCTGTAGGACTAATCATTTTAATTACTGGTGCAAACATTTAGAATGCTGCTTACCGATTTACAAGAAGGGGTTGGATTGTTGTAATCCCACTCAGATTTTGTCTTTCAATTTTGGGATTTTACAGTTTTTAACATTTAAGAAAAAATTAAACCCTATAACTTTCTATGTGTGTATTTTAAAGCTTATAATCTTTTTACTTTTTCTATTGTGTGTTTAGTGACACCAGTCCTTCCTTTTTTTATTCTAAATCTGCTAGAGCTGTATTGATTCATGAACATAGTACTTAATTTACTCATAAATATATATTCTTAAAATAAGCATTCAAATGGCTTACTCTTTCTGTGTTATTCAGTCCTGAAAAACAAAGGGACTTTTGATCTTGCATCCGTTTTAAGTTTCCAGAGAACATCTTATTTGCATGCAATAACCCAGTATGTTTTGACTGCAGTGCTCTTTGGAAAATGGACGGACCACGTAAAGAGCTGGAGACATGCAGAGCTAGGAGACAGAATACTTTTCATCACATACGAGGAAATGGTTCAGGTAGTCCTCTAGAGTTTCTGTCAATGTAATCTTTTCTCACTATCACATTAAAGCCAGACTTCCTGTTTCAAGCTTTGAATATAGAACAGTGGTGCACTGCATGTTCTATCCTTAGCCTTCCTCTTTAGTTTTTAGCTATTTTTTTTTAAATTGCTAAAAATGGTTACTGGTTTCCATACGTCTTTGGGATTTTTCAAACCACCTCGATGGAGAAGTTGTATTTTTGTGTGTTTCTGTTCAGACTTGCTGACCTTCATTGTAGAATTGGTGAAAAGCGTGCTAATGTTCGCACACCACATTATAACCACAATGTTCAATGTATTTTACTTTGGTGTCTGCAGTATATGATGACTATAAAGTTGTGCATAACTTTGAAGTTTATCTAAGCCTGACTGTTTAAAGGAACTATTAATCTCTTGTCCAGGACCTGTCTGCATCTATCAAGCGCATGTCCGACTTTTTGTGCTGTGATCTCAGTAAAGACGTCATCCAGAAGATAGCAGAGCATTGCTCTTTTCGGAGCATGAAGGCCAACATCATGTCCAACTTTAGCCTGGTCCCAAAGGAATACATGGACAATGATAAGTCTCCTTTCCTCAGGAAAGGTGAGCTTCACCCCATCTAATTGTTGCACACATGGGATTAGTTTCCCTTTCAAAAATGTGTTGTTTCCCAAACTTCTTCCCTGATTTGTTTTTAATGACAGGAATCGCAGGTGACTGGAAAAACCACTTCAGCTCAGATCAACTGGCCCGATTCAAGTCTGTGATTAACAGGGAGTTGGAGGGAGAGAAGTTCCCGCTGCCATGGAGTCTGGACTGATCCACACAGAGTAATGGAAGAATGGAGGAAAAGCAATCAAGTCCTCCTACTAATATTAGAAAATAAGAATTTTGTGCAAACAGCAGTGAATTTTGTCAATGAGTCTTTTATCAACAGTTGCAAAAAGTTTTAGAACTTTTTAAAGTTTTTAAGTATAAAAGTAACTATAGTACTTTAAAATATGAATTAAGGGAACACTTTAACAGCTAATCACTTCGATCAGTCCAAGTTTTAGCTAACTACAGTTTAATATTAATATTTTGAGCTTCCCTGAAGTCCACGCTTAATGCATTTATCATCTGTATAATGAGATCATAACCACAATGTAACAATTAGATAATAATACATATGTATTTGACAAGTTCGACAAGTAAAATTTAAGGGAACTCCAACTTATTTTTTCCATTTGCAAGTCAAAGCAAAATGACAAAATGTTTCCTTCTTCATTCTCCTTCTACATTCAAAATGCATTTAAAACTGGAAGCTTACATACACTCCATATCTTTTTCTTATTCTCTGATACATCATTTTGAATTATCAAAACTATTTCTGTTTTATAAATGCGAGATTAATAAATCAATTTGGTTTATTACCTTCTTTAATTTCAGAGGATTACACATATTTATTTAGCCTACAGCTTTGTCTATAAACTGTACAACTTGGGTCAAAGATTTCTGGTGTATGGAGCTAAATCAGGGCCATAAATTTCGTTTAAAGGAAATAAAATTGACTCCAAAAAAAAAAAAAAATATTATTTAAACATGAAGGAAAAACGGTCAAAGTGGCTGTGGTGTAAAATCCACTGTACCCAGTTCCAAGCCTATAGAGGACCAATCCTGCCATAATTAAAAGTAAATACATAAATAAATTAGGGTTTTAGGGTTAAATAAAATCTCAAATGTCTTTTTCATTTTAAGTAAAAGGATGAGCAGCGTTAAAGAAGAAAATGAAAATGCAATCAAGATGATTGATAACTAATTTCATTTGAGTCAAACAATGCAGCCACACTCTTAAAATGAAAAAGCATTTCTGGAAATGCTTTTTCATTTGAAATATGTTAGCGATTTGCTTCCATAGGGAGTAGGTTGTTCAGCCGCTGTGTTGAATATGTTAGTCATGATTTCACAAATGGAAATCCAGTCGATAATGGCTACTAACATAAAAAGGTTGATTCTTATATCTGCAACAGGAAAATAATGGGTGCATGTTTTGTACAGTGTTTAAGACATAACTTTGATATGTCCTGTTAAATTTCACATTTTAATAAAAATATTTACATATATCTGCTGTCCTCTTTTTCAGGATGTTGGATTTAGCTTATTTATAAATGTTCTATATGTTTTATGATAGATTATTTAATTTTTGCCAGATTTATGGTGAGTTTTTAATTGTTTTTAGCTATGCTCTACATGTAAACACCTTCCTAAGATGCCCTGATATTAAAAGTCTGGAGTACAGTATTCACTCCTCACAGTGTGTATGCAAGTGTAGCAGTTTAGAAAATTCTACACACTACAACAGCCTATGTACTTTTTTAACATATTTGAAAAGACAGACATTAAATATAGTTTTTAACAAAACTCACAAATACAAGCACTGTCTAACCACAATGACTGAAAAGATGCCTGTCTTTGCTGTGTAACAAGGGGAAGGGGGCTCCTGTCTATCTTAAGTGGTCATTTTACAAGAGGCAGGGTACACGCTGAATTACAAAGTTCTTCATAGGTAAACTCTTTGTCTACTGTTAAGGCTAGGCTTAAAACTTTTCTCCTTTATAATAGTTTCCTTTTGGAAAATAATTATAGTGTGGTTCAGGTTATCCAGAGCTATCTCTAGTTAGGCTGCTATTGCCTTCGGCTGCTGGAGAACATAGGGATCCATTTTCATATTCTGCTTCATAAAAACTCTATTCTCCCATTCTGCAGTATTTGTTAGTTGAGCCTCTAACTTGATGTTCTCTCTGCTTTTTCTCATCATAGTAGCTTTATCTCGCCAGTTCCTGTTTGCCTGTGATACCGCTTTCAACACCTTTGTTTATAGATATTGGAGCTTGGCCTGTTCTGCAGTGTAGTCCAGTTTATCTTAGTGTGATTAACTGTATCTGCTCTCTTATGTTCTCTGACATAGGAGCTGGCTCAGAGCTTGTCTAACTGGCTATGTTTTCCCGGATGGCGCCTGTTGTGGAGCTGGTTGAGTTACTTTTCTGTCTGTGCTTCTTTTTATATGTCTGCTTCTGTCCCCTTGAGCCCCAGTCAGCCTCTGCAGATGGCCGCTCACGTGGAGCCTGGTTCTGCTGGAAGTTTCTTCCTGTTTTTCCTCTCCACAGTTGCTGCAAGCATGCTTGGTGTGAGAAATTGCTTAGGAGTCAATAATTTGTAGAAAGAGACTTTGAACCAATCTGACTGTATGATTTGGTTGAACGGTCTTCGAAAGTGCCTTGAGATTACATGTGTTGTAAATTGGTGCTATATATATATATGTATATATATATATATAACTGAATTGAATAAAGGTGTAATTGGGTTTTTTTCCCTTAGTGTTTTCCCATATTATCTGCAAAGGACATGTAGAGCTCCCTTCCCTCTATGAGCTTTATTGCAGCTGATAGTTTGCTCCTCCTTGCAGGTCTGCTGAAGTTCAGCAATATTTGGAGGTCATCTTGCTCTGTTGTCTTCGTTGCTGAAATACCTTTGGTGTTGTGGGTAATTTTCCTGTGGTGAAAGACAGACTATTGCCAAGTAACTCTGACACATGGTTCCTTTGTTTGGTGCAATAGCTGTCTCTGTCTATGCGTCGCTTGCATACCTCCCCTCACAATGGGTACATAGTTGCATTTAAATAATTGCTCCATTGAAATATCTGTTTACGTTTAGCTTGTACCCGGCCCTAAGATAACTTAACTTCTTCAACCGTGGTTCGATTTTGCTCATCCATATTTTTCCCTTAAGCATTTACAAGTTGCTTTCCTTTGCAAAGCAAATGTACCAAGAAAAAGAGGGCTTTAGTTTTCAGCATTCATTTTTAAACTCGGGGAGGATCCCATGAAGGCCAGGGAGGAGCTGAAACAAAGACAAAGCCAAATAGGCCAGTTTAAAGGTAAAACCATTTTTTTTTTTTTATTGTTCCGTCTCACAAAAACTGTCCAGGTCCCTGAAGCAGACAAAATATAGTAATTTTCTTTCATTTGAGTTAGCTACACAGAAACATATCTTGTACTTATGATTTTATTTTCTTAAAACAATTTCTGGGAATATTCTTACAGAAGGAAAAATATGATATTTAATTATGTTGAGTTTTTATTTTAAAAACTCCCATATATAATTCTAACATGTATTCAAGTACATTTTTATAAAAGAATTTCAAATATTTTATCATAACTAACTAACTAACTGTATTCAGATTATCTCAAGACAGCTGAATTAACACTTATTTAGTTTAATCTTATGCAACATCGAGGCATTTTCTCTTAATTTTGATAAGTGTCTCCATCTTTGTATGCTAAATTAGCTTTTTTTTATTAGGTTTTGTATTTCCCCTTTTCTTAACATTAAATGCCATTTTTTTTTTTTTTTAAGCAGATGATCATTATCCTTTTTACTTAAAGCTATCGAACGCTGGTGGCACTCATCACTGGGTCGGGATTCGGCAGTCATCAACTAGAGCACATAATGCAGGTCTGGATTTATCTGACCGCTGCAATAGACTGAAAGAAAAATGTTGAAGTTCCCCATTAGCCTGGTATTTAACCTGTTGTAGTTAAAGAATGCAAAGAAAAACAGAAAATCTTTTATAAAAAAAAATAAGAAAATATAATTTATTAATGTGTTTTACGACTAATTTCTTAAACCTAAAATAATACTCTTAGTACAGCTTCTGATCCTTCTCAGAAGTTATAGGTGCTTGGTCATTCCTGAACCACAGATAGAGGAAGAGACCTTCCTATGCGTTTTTTGTTCACAAATGTAAAGAAGCAAGCATGTAGACTTTTCAATTGTAGACGGACATTTGTATTTTTAATAAAAAGGCGAAAAGGACGGACTGGAGGAACAATCCTGCTTTACTTTGGGTGCATGCTGAATATCATGAATCCACTGCTGCATCTCTGAGCAGAATAACAGTGGACAAGTTTGGACACATCTGTAAGTATATGAATGAACAAACGGACAAAAAAAAAAAGCTTGGAAATTTAGTTAAAAGTTTTTTCCAATGCATAAAAACAAATTCCCATTTTGTTAACAATACAATATGTCAAAAAAGCTCATGAATGTCTGCCTTCTTACAACAAAATGAAGCTACACTTAACAACATAAAGTTTAGTGGTAATACAAGAAAATAAACGTCACAATGATAATTTTCAAATACAATGTGCACAGATTTTTTTAAGCTAAGGAAGGATGAGCATGAATTTAACTCTGAATTAGCAGTGATCCAAAAAAGATGGATTTAAATTTATCTCTAAAATAATTTTTACTTTCTGCAATAGAAAAGAACTTCTGGATATAATCTGATAGGGATTTATTTGTTTGCTTTGTGCATTCATTTAGTTTATGATATACAAGATTTAAATTTCATCATATTTGATTTGATAAATAGTGGATTATTATGGTACACAGGGGACGACCCAGGACACGCTGGAGAGACTACGTCTCTCGGCTGGCCTGGAAGCGCCTAGGGCTTCCCCCAGCAGAGCTGGAGGAGGTGTCTGCGGAGAGGGAAGTCTGGGAGTCTCTGGTTAGTCTGCTGCCCCCGCGACCCGGTTCCGGATAAAGCGGGAGACGACGAGTACGAGTACAATCGTTTTTATTGTAGTTTCGCAAGTTGTTCCCTATAATTCCACAGAGTATTTGAAATAAGGGTTTATCAGAGAGTAACACATTAAAAACAAACCCTTAAGATTTAGCATGTTCTTAGTTTTATGTAATATTATTTTTTACTTTTCTTTTTAAATATTCTATATTTTGTTTCCAGCTTAGTTTTTGATCAGTTACTCCCAAACATCTTGTCTCCCAAAGTTTTTCAATGTAAACATCAC